ATCACGTGAGCATCCGTCATGTTAAATCCAGGACCGAATTGAGAAAAGTGCCTCACAAGTGATAAAACAGATAAGTAATATGGATTCGATACAGTAAATCAATAAATTCAATGTGTAATAATCAATAAATTCAATCGAATAAAACGTTTTATTAGTAACAATTATTCGTAAGAGTGATCACTAAAGAAAATTTCTGATGTAATTGCTTATAAATTGTCTGCACATATGTATTGTACGTTCCTATCGTCTTGCATTTCATTGGATCCAACCCAAAACAAAAGTTGCGCGGCGATACCTGCGCGAAGACTCAGTTTTTCGCTGAACTGAGTCGACAAGGCACACAGGGGATAGTACTTTGGCCGTATTGACTCTCAGTTGAGAGCAGGTGCCACTACAAAAAGAAGAAGAAGAAGAAGAAGTATATCTCACTGACCTGCGCGAAGACTCAGTTTTTCGCTGAGTGGACCTATTGGTTATACTGTGGTCCTACGTTTATACGTCTATGTCTCTATGTAAACCCGGCTTTAAGTGGAACGCACCCGATGATGTATATTGTATATACTTATGTGTATGTGTTATACATACATGTGATGGCCTTAACCTAACTGTTGTTTCTTGGTTATCTAGGACTCTATTGCAAAGTTCAGTGCTTACTCAAATTAAATATGGCTTCTTGGACGCAAACATGACTTGTTGAAAATGAATAAGAATAAGCAAGTTGTCGTTGATTCAGCTACGCGCAAGTTATCCACTGTATTATTCCTCGTCGAACGTGACTCTACTTAATCGACTCTTAACTGTTGGTTGTTGAGTATTGAATACGTGATCATGAATAACGAAAACGATCGTGACATGGAGAACAATCGAGTGGTTCCGTCCTCATCCGAGACAGATTTTGCGAATTTTCGTCCGCAAAAGGAGCTGGTATACAATAAATTTTTGCCCTACACAAATGAGCTTGATGCGGAATCGCGAATATGGCTTGCCGAAATCAAGGGAAACTTGGGACGTGCTGTCATGTTACGTGAACTTATTCCAGGATGCGTGTTTTGGTCAAGCAAATTGAATTTGTAAGCGATAAAATTCCGTTTTTAATATCTAGAGGTTCTTTGCAGTATATGGTATTTAAAAAAAAAGGAAAAAAAAAGAAACGTAAAAAGACAGATAATACTTGTCAGATGAACCCATTAACTTTACACTTCTATTTAAAAAATTCTTGTAATTCGGATCCTAATCGAAATTTTTAAGTACAATTGTTATTTAGGGATAAAAGAATTATTCTTTTTAATAAAAATCTGGTCAGCAATAAAGTGGCTACTTGGAGAGAAAAAACTATAAAGGCTTGAAAGGAGATAAAAGAAATAAGTGATCCTTATCTTTTAATGACACATTCAATTAATGAATAATTTCGTCTATTTTTTTTTTTTTAAGTAAAATCAATGTGTTACTTGATTTTCAATAAACTTTATTGATATACAAAGAAGAGAAAGTTACGAAAAAGATTTCTTTTGACTGTTTATACAATTCTTTATACAACTTTGTATAAATGATATTTTATTATAGATCAGTTAAGTAATAATTATATCGATTTCTATTTAAAAAAATAGATACAATTATTTACTAGTGAATATTTGTCAATAAAAAGGCAGGAATTGCTTTGTTTTTTTATCACCATTTTTACTTCATATTTTTTCTAACTCTTTTTATTTCTAAATATCAGTTATGCTCAGAAAATTTCAATTGGGACCTAAATTATAAGAATTTGAAACAGAAAAGTACATAATTATAAAATACATAGGTAATTTGGAATTTAATAGAATAAAAAATATCTAATTGACAGGATTTAAAAAAAATAAACTTGTCAAAAGAAGAGATTTGTGAAAATAGAGAAATCTTGTTTTTAAATATTATTTTAATAGGAAAAAATTGAAATTAGAAATGGAAAGAAGATAATGAATAAATTTACAATTGGATCAGAAATGAGCATTAAAAATTTACAAATAGTATATGCATTATATGATAAACAATTTATATAAACATATTATATTTATATAAACATATTATAAAAAGAGGATAGTGTAAAATAACATTAAGTTAGAGAGAAAAAATTTAAAAGGGGTGTGTTATATTTTAACTTTATTCTATCACAAAGATAGACTTACTTTTTGAATTTATAT